ATATTTGACCCAAAGTTGGGTTGAAACAACCCAGCATTTTTAGAGTGTATCTGAGAGAAAGTGACACCATCAAAAAACACCATAGCCTACTATAAGAAATGATCCTATTCAAATAGGCTATAACGTTTTTTTTTTTAAAGACCCCATTAAAATATACATTTATAATTTGTTTAATTCACATTATTTGTCTTTCCGTTTTACTCGCCGGTATCGGATTCAGGGTGTGCGCCATAGGCCTACTTCATTTATCGCGAATGAAAACGAGGCTGTGAGGGATGTCAGTCAATCTCGACAGGGACTTTGTAGCTATATAGTTTATTAAATGTAGCGTAATTGGGTGTCAAGGGAAACGTTCAGCTGACGTAAACATTGAAAATACATCTTTACAAAAATAAATAAACAAATAATACCGGCTGACAAAGTCTGTTTGATTCGCGAAAAAACAAATATGGCGTCTTATACCTAGCCTACCTGTCTTATTTAGCTACTTGTGTTTGGCAGATTCATTTAACGTAGGCCTATTTCTGATTACAAAACTAATAGATATCAGTTTACAATTCATTGATTAGCGAGAATTACGGTCTTTAGTCTTTTGTTCTTGTGTTCAAAACAACAAACCAAGTTGCTCATTCTTGTCCTCAAAGAGATATAGGCTAATTGAGTGGAATCATTAATTCATAATGTTTCTATTATGACATATCTTTGATTAAAATATGGGCAATTAAATATGTAAATATAAGTCATAAATTCATAAAATAATCCTTAAAAAAAAAAATCACAGGTTCTAAAATATTACGCAGCACAACTGCTTCCAGCATTGATAATAAATCAGCATATTAGAATGATTTCTGAAGGATCATGTGACACTGAAGACTGGAGTAATGATGCTGAAAATTCAGCTTTACATCACAGGAATAAATTATATTTTAAAGTATATTAAAACATAAATCTGTTATTTAAAATCGTCATAATATTTCACAATATTACTGTTTTGATCAAATAAATGCAGCCTTTATGAGCATAATATGAGACTTCATAAAAAACATAAAAAATCATACTGTTATATGTTGCTTGGAAAAAAATACACAATTACATGTGTACTTCTGAATTCTGAAAAATTGTCAATGAAGAAAGATGCTTTTTTTGGGTCCAGATGGTGCACTTTCGGCATCTTACCAGCAGAGGCACACTGGGCTCTACTATTACTAGTGAGCCAAACCTTGACCTTAGTCTTAAATGGTTTTAGAGCAGCAGTTCCCCTGTCATCAATCTTTATAAAAAATGACATTTGTAAATTCTCCTGGAGGTTCTTGCACTGCACTCTCATATGATTTATTAATCTGACCAACCCAATTAATGTCACAGAGTTTTTGCTAATGAAATGATGAGTTGAATCAGATGTGTTATATGAGGAAGACATCAGAAACATGCAGTGCTGGGGGGCAAGAGTAGCAGCACTGAGAAACACTGTTATAGACCTGTGCACTTTCTGAAGTGATGACAGTACTCCCACCACAGTTTCTGATGGATTTTTAACACCATCTCTTCTTAAACTCTGTGCACACTTCTTGATTTGCTGCTTCAGGCTTTCCTCATTAACCTGACAACGTCCTGCCCCCTCTTCATCCAATGTCGGCTGCTCTCTGAACTCTCCCATTGTTGCTCACTAAGCGCTCCTGGGCAGAAGAGTGTTTAATTACACATCAGTCACTATGACGTATGTCCTTATCCTTCCTGCATTCTTCACACACAAACACACACTGGGAATTGCAGTGACACTCCTTAAGGAGGCTTGTATTAACACAAATACTAAGCACTTAATGTATATTGGTATAATGGTACAAAACAGGGCCTGCAAAATAAATAATTAACAAAAAGTTACAAGTTTTTACATTTTTTATGTGTGGTGTGTCATTGTTTTAAGTTTAAGTTTATTTCGAGCAAATATATATATATATACACATATATAGAAAAATAGAACAGTTTATCTCACATATATATGTATCTGTACATATACCTTACACATAATAACTACACACACACAGATATGTACATACACACACACACACACACACACACACACATATATATATATATATATATATATATATATATATACATATACATACCCACATACACATACACACATATATACACATTACAATTATGATACACATACCCACACACATATTTACACATATAATACTTACTTGAAAGGGAGTGGAAAGAAGTAGAATTTATTTGCTCCCACCCCCAATTCATTCCCATATATTACACCATATGGTTGCTGCCATTGTCTGTTACTAATAATTTATGTGATATTATAATAGTTATATACAAATACCCAAATACAATATGTCCGTCTCAATAATCACAATAATACATTATAATAATCCTCATTATCATAAACATTCTAATATGTCCCGGTATTTATAATAATTATGTTATATATAAAATATAACTATATCCTATTATATTGTTAAATCACAGTTTTATAATAACAATAATAATATTTATAATAAACATTAATATCTGCTCCTGTCATTATCATTATTATTATTTGCTCAGCTATGTAATCGTATCCCGTTCTGTTGTAATTATATCACCATTTATAGTATCAATATTAATAGTAAGAACAATTATGATCATCCCTACTACCGTTTTTTAATACTTGCTCGAAAGGGAGTGGAAAGAAGTAGAACTTATTTGCTCCCACCCCCAATTCATTCCCATATATTACACCATATGGTTGCTGCCATTGTCTGTTACTAATCATTTATGTGATATTATAATATTTATATACAAATACCCAATTACAATAGGACCATCTCAATAAT